CATTCAAGAATAGCCAAACGAGCACGAACACATCGTCCCCAGACCATGTTTGACTATTCTTGGATACTCCTCCTGTAGAGGGACATGCCCGACTTAAACATAGCATGGCCCGTTGGCATGTGTTGTTTTTCTTCATGGCCTTGGGGCCCCGTGCGGCACCCAACAGAGCCGAGAACTTCTGGGGAGTGCGGCTCTTCTGATGGCAATGTTCGGCACCGTACGTATTTCCTGCAGCCTGAGGCATTCGGTGGCAAACCATGGGAGCCTGGTATACCTTCTTAATTCCGTCCTTAGCGTCGATTAGCGCCGATGATCCTCCTCCACTTCGCTCCTCGTTCCCATTGCCTCCGACCTTCTCCTGATTCCCCCTCATCCTGAGCATCCCTCCCCTGACTCCCCCCTTCTTCCTCCCCGTTTTCCCCCACTTCCAGGAGCCACCTGGGAACCAGAGCCTGCAAGACCCCAGTAGAATCACACGAGAATGCAAGCATGAAGAAGAGAAGGGAGAGCCCTCCCCCCATACCCTAAGTATCCCCCCTCGTCCTCCCTCCTCACCGTCTCTGAAGCTTGCCACGGCCTCCCGGAACCACGCCGCGCCCAACACGCCCAGGGGGAGCACAAGTATGAGGATGAAGCCTCCCTCCTCCCTCCTCCCTTACCCTTCCTCTTCCTAAATTTTTTAAAGAATTACTCCGACGGTAGGACCCCACATGAGAATCTGTTTAGCTTACCCTTTGCCCTTTCCTCCTCCCCCTGGCGGACACCCTCTCCTCTCGCTCCCTGCACTGCCCTCTCTTCCCCCTTCTATTTCTCTTCCTCCTCCTCTTTCTCCTCCTCCTCCTCCTCCTCCTCCTCCTCCTCTTCCTCCTCCTCCTCCTCCTCCTCCTCCTCCTCCTCCTCCTCTCGCGCCACCTCCTCCTCGTCGTCGGCCTCCCCCATGCCCCTTCCCTCCTCATCCCCCTGCCTTTTCTCCATGTGCACCTCCCCTTCTCCCTCGTCGGGGCAAGCAAATCCATTTTCCTCAGCGCCGTCGCCGCCTCGGCCAGCGCGCGCGCGTCTGCCGACGGCTAGATCGCGAAGCCGTCGGGACAAACCTTCGGGCTGGGCCGTTGAGACAACCTCGCAGGCCGCTGGGGCGTGGGAGCTAGCCGTTGGGACAACCCCGCGGGCCTCCAGGCGCGCGCCGCGGCGCTCAGGCGGGGGGCAGCATGAAGCCCAGCTCTGCCGCGAGCTGCTCCGCCTCAGCCCTGGAGTCCACCGCTCTCTTGTCGAACTCCTCGAGCGCCTTCCGCAGGGACGCCGGCGGCCCGCGCTCCAGGAACTCTCGCGCGGGCGGCCGCAGGATCAGCATGTTCCGCATGCACGTGGCGCGGGAGAACATGACGTAGAGGTGCAGCCACCACATATCGTCCGACATGCCCGTGCAGCCAGCGTCCTCATCCCTGGCGCAGTCGATGGTGACGCCCTTGCGCAGCGTCTGGCCCTGCGACAGCGTGGAGGTCAGGTAGGACGCGTGCGTCAGTGTGAATCCCGAGCGGCGCACAGTGTGCGCCCCCGAGCTTTGCCACGTGAGCTCCTGCTCGCTGGGCCTGAACATGAGCAAGCTCCTCGCCCGCGCTTCGGCCTCGCCGTCGTCGGCAGCGCCATCGGCGCCCTGCTGCAGCACCTCGGCGACCTCCTTGTAGATCGGGGACTCCTGGAAGCCGTGCACCTGCAGCCAGATTCCCTGCGGTAGGTATCGGGGGCGGAAGAGCTGGCCCGGCGCGCACTCCTCGTAGTCCCGCTCGTCGTCTGCGTGAAACTCGAAGGACACGATGGTGGCCCGTTGCTCCTGCACGAGCCCCAACTTCTTCTTCAGCTCCTCCTGCACGGCCGTGAACCGGACCTCCATGCCGACGTGTGCCGGTAAGACGCCGTGGATGTCCCCCGTCTTGTGCATGTTCGGGACGTTCAGGAGGCGCCGGCCTGCGTCTGGGTCGCCTTGAATCGTGCCGCACTCGTCTACGGCCTGCAGGAAGACGAGGGGGGCGCCGAGGCGCCGCGCGTCGCGACGAGCGCGCGTGTTGATCCACCTCGCCAGCGTCTCCCAGTAGATGCCCATGCCGTAGCCGAGCCGGAAATTCTCGTGCTGGTGCCGTGGGTCCAGGACGAGACTTCCTCCATATTCAGGTCTCAAGAGCCCAAAAGTGACGACAGTTGCACGTTGCGGATGACCCGCTCGGATTCGAACATGAAGTGCGGGCCCCATAGGGAGGGGGCTCCCGCCTGAGACTTCCTCACAATTCACTCACAGACGAGGCTCCCGCCGGATACTTCCTCCATATTCAGGCCTCAAGAGCCCAAAAGTGACGACAGTTACACGTTTCGGATGACCCGCTCGGATTCGAACATGAAGTGCGGGCCCCATAGGGAGGGGGCTCCCGCCTGAAACTTCTTCGCAATTCACTCATATTCAGGCCTCGTCAAGAGCCCCAAAGTGACGACAGTTGCACGTTGCGGATGACCCGCTCGGATTCGAACATGAAGTGCGGGCCCCATAGGGAGGGGGCTCCCGCCTGAAACTTCTTCGCAATTCACTCGCAGACGAGGCTCCCGCTCGAGACTTCCTCCACATTCAAGTCTCAAGAACCCAAAAGTAGACGAGGCTCCCGCCTGATACATCCTCCATATTCAGGCCTCAAGAGCCCAAAAGTGACGACAGTTACACGTTTCGGATGACCCGCTCGGATTCGAACATGAAGCGCGGGCCCCATAGGGAGGGGGCTCCCGCCTGAGACTTCCTCGCAATTCACTCATAATCAGGTCTCAAGAGCCCAAAAGTGACGACAGTTGCACGTTGCGGATGACCCGCTCGGATTCGAACATGAAGTGCGGGCCCCATAGGGAGGGGGCTCCCGCCTGAGACTTCCTCACAATTCACTCACAGACGAGGCTCCCGCCTGATACTTCCTCCATATTCAGGCCTCAAGAGCCCAAAAGTGACGACAGTTACACGTTTCGGATGACCCGCTCGGATTCGAACATGAAGTGCGGGCCCCATAGGGAGGGGACTCCCGCTTGAAACTTCCTTGCAACTCATTCCTATTCAGGCCTCAAGGGCCCAAAAGTGACGACAGTTACACGTTTCGGATGACCCGCTCGGATTCGAACATGAAGTGCGGGCCCCATAGGGAGGAGGCTCCCGCTTGACACTTCCTCGCAATTCACTCACAGACGAGGCTCCCGCTCGAGACGTCCTCCATATTCAAGTCTCAAGAGCCCAAAAGTGAGCGAGGCTCCCGCCTGATACATCCTCCATATTCAGGCCTCAAGAGCCCAAAAGTGACGACAGTTACACGTTTCGGATGACCCGCTCGGATTCGAACATGAAGTGCGGGCCCCATAGGGAGGGGGCTCCCGCCTGAGACTTCCTCGCAATTCATTCATATTCAGGCCTCAAGAGCCCCAAAATGATGACAGTTGTACGTTTCGGATGACCCGCTCGGATTCGAACATGAAGTGCGGGCCCCATAGGGAGGGGGCTCCCGCCTGAGACTTCCTCGCAATTCACTCACAGACGAGGCTCCCGCTCGAGACTTCCTCCATATTCAGGTCTCAAGAGCCCAAAAGTGACGACAGTTGCACGTTGCGGATGACCCGCTCGGATTCGAACATGAAGTGCGGGCTCCATAGGGAGGGGGCTCCCGCCTGAGACTTCCTTACAATTCACTCACAGACGAACTCCCGCCTGAGACTTCCTCCAGGTGAGTATGTGAATGAGTGAGCGTGTGACAGAGTGCGAGTGATGATGATGATGATGATGATGATGATGATGATGATGATGATGATGATGATGATGATGATGATGATGATGATGATGATGAGCATGTGAGTGACTGAGCGTGTGAGAGAGCGCGAGTGATGATGCTGATGTTGATGATCAGAGAGTGTGAGTGACTGTGAGTGTGAGTGAGTGGTGATGATGATGAGTGAGTGAGTGAGTGTGCGAAGGCAGAAGAGGAGAGGGGCTGGGGTGAGTGTTCCTGCGCGGGGTGTGCAGAGAAAACAAGAACCCCACTTTGGATGTGGGGAAATAAAGCGAAGCCTCCCTTACCCTTCCTCTTCCTTTCTTGCCCACGCCGTTTGGAGACCTGTTTCCGAGGAGCCAGCAGAAGCTCCGAGTCGCATCTGGGAACCTCTGAGGACCTTCAGCGGTTTAGGAAAACAGTGCCCCCCCTTCCACGGTCCATCTCGATCCGATCGATGCGGTTCGATGTCGAGTCCGGCTTGCCCGATCCGATTCGATTCCGATGTTCTGTCGTTCCGATGTCGCCCGACGCGTTCTTGGCGATGTCGTGCATCTTGACGCAGCCGAGCCGATTCGATTCTGAATTCGCGCCGGTGCGGGCCGATCCGACGCACCCTGCTGACTCGATTCTCAAGTTCCCCATTCGATGCGGACTGGTCCTGCCCCTCTTCCTCTCCCCTCCAGTACAGTGGAGACCCATGCCAACAAAAACACCCTGCTTGCCTCCAGGGTACCCTGGGTTTCTTGAGTTTCAATGGTTCTGCAGTGGAAGGTGCGACGCTCCCACACCAAAGGTCAAATGGGCGTCCTGGGGTTCCAGGGTCGGGCTTCTTGTGGACGGTTTCTGCTGGTCGGTAGCATGGGGGAAACGGGACCCGAGGGAAAGGGACCCTGGACCTTGGGGCCTTCCCCCAAGACGAGATCTTCCCCCCGAGCCCCGGGCAGGGGGCCCCGAGAGTCCCAGAAGCCGCGCAGAAGCCGCGGGGTCCGTTTCCCTCGGGGCCTGCCTCCCCCATGGCGATCCATCCCGCTCGGCCCCCTGCCACCGACGCTTTGAAGCACGCTTGCGCGTGCAGGCACGGAGGCACCGAGCAGCGCGTCGCGTGTGCGGTTGTAGACCTCAAGCGTGAAGCATATCCTCGCGGGGCGGAGTTCAAGAACAGCCCCCCTCCCTCGCGGCCCCAGCGGCGTCGGAACGGCCACGGTACCCCAGGTGCTGCCGTCGACCTGGCGCCCAGGGACCCGGCACAGGGAAAGGCCGGCAAGCGTCCCCCGCCCCCCTTCCGTCTTCGCTTTCGAGGAGAGCAAGGCGAGGAAAAGGCAGGCAGGGTATCCCTCAGATCCTGGCGTCTCAATTTTTTCGAGTCGGACGTTTTCGCCTTTTCTCGGGGCCTGGGATCCTCACGGATCGATCCGGCTCGGAAAACGACATGGTCTAGGGCTCGGGGCGCGATGTTCTACGATGTTGCAAGTGTCTCGCTACGTCGGATCTCAGGGGTAGGCCCATGTACTCCGGTCGGACCGAGGTATCAGATGGAGTTCGGTTCGGGGAGAGTGCCCAGATGTTCTTCGTGCTTGTCGGATGTGCTTGTGCATCCTGGGGGAGGGTGCCCTCGACTGTGCTTCGGTTTGGCCCGCGGAGGGTCTCGTGTTCTTTAAAGATGTGTTTCTGTCCCAGGTCCTGCCTTTGGAGGGAGGGAGGGGGAGAGGGAAGACGAAGAAGAGAGACGGTAGCGATGGGGTAGAGGAGCGAGAGATTGAGACAGCATGCAGAAGAATGAGGGAAAGGAGAGGAGCCCTCGCAGCGCTCCGGGCCTGCGAGCTGCCATGCGGCTTCATCCTGGGACCGTCTTTGGGCTTGTTTTTGCTGGCGGGTGTGATGGGCTGCCGAGAACGAACTTCGACAGCATGGCGGCCCCGCGTGGGCGGCGCCGGATTGCCTCTGCCAGCTTCAGGTCCACGGCGGGGCTGGCTGGAGACTCGAGCGCGTATGCCTGACCGGGGTCAGACGGGGCGAGGGCGAGAAGGAATCCGTTCGGGAGCGTTCCGGGAACGCTCTCAGAGCGTTCCAGAACGCTTTGAGAAGGCCGCGGCGCCCGAGACATTCTCCAGATCCGCCCGATCTCAGAGACATGCGGGCAATATGTATGTCCATGTCCAGTGCGTCTTGGATTTTCTTGGAAGGGGCGCCGATGTGGACACGGATATGGAAAGGTCGCACTGGACATGGGTAAGCATAGCCTCTGGGGGCCTGGTGTTGATCCAGATCCAGTGCGCCTCGGGTGTCTGGGGCAGGGAGCCCAGCACTCCAAGCTGCAGTGGAGATGGACACAAACCTTGCCCGCAGGAGATTCCCGATGTATCCTCACCTGGTTGGATCCTCGTCATGGCTTCAGGTCGGGCGTGTCCCCCTACAGGCGGATTTTGGGCGCAGAGTTAAGAAGATGCAGACATGCCCCAAAATATTCCAAACAGGATCAAACAACAAATAGTCCCCAGACGATGTTGTGCCTATTTTTGAACACTCCTCCTGTAGAGGGACAGGCCCGACTCAATCACGGGCTTCGTCTGACGGGGGCGCGCTCCCAGGCCCGGGCCCCCGGGCCGCTGCTCCTCCGGCTGCTCCTCTGCCGCCGTGGCCCTGCCTCCGAGGACGGGGCCGCCCTGCAGGGCCTCTCCCGGAGCGTGCGCTGCGGCCCAGAGATTTCGAGGCGGACGCCCAGCCTTACGTCGGGCGTGCCCCCCTGCAGGAGGAAGATTAAAAACAAGTACACAAATAGTCTGGGGACGACTTTTCGTTTTTTTTTTTGTAACAAAAAAAAGAGAGAAAATAAAAGAAAACCAGTTTTGAATATTGTTGAACTATTTTCAAGTTGTCCTCCAGAATCCGCCTGAAGGGGGACATGCCCGACCCACACCCAGCCGCGGCGACGAGGAGCCCTCTGGCAGCCCAGACGATGATCCGCAAGCCCCCGCGGAGGGTTTTGATCATAGAGGTTCAGAGCATAGAGGCTTAGGTCATGGATCGGCGGCGGGCCAGGGAGGAAGCGAGAAGGAGGAGGCCTTCTCAGAAGGCGGTGGGACTTCTCAGGAGCCCTGGCGCTTTCTGATAAGTGGTCTGCGTCTTCGGGGAAGGCTTAGAACACTTCTCAGAAGGCCGGGAAACTTCCGGGCCTTCTGAGAAGGCCCGCCCCTTCTCACTTCCTCCCTCGCTCGCCGCCTAATGAAGGCTCTTGTTATGAAGAATGCGATGCTGGGGAATCATCGATTTACCCATGCCCTAAGCTGCTACTGTCAGGCGATCGGCTGTTGTCAGACGAACGTGTCAGACGCTATGATGCGCAAGACATGCACCCGCTACCCATGCCCTCATTCCAGAAGAATCCTGGGACGTTTGCAATCCGGTTGCAGCGCTGCGAATCATCAGAATAAGGCCGACCATCCATCAAAGTTCAAGTCGTCCGTTACCCGCAAGCACGAGCGGTGCGAAGCGATGCGATGCAAGGCGAAGCGAAGCGTTGTGATGCAAGGCGGTGCGACGCCATGCGATGCCGTGCGAGGCGAGGCGAGGGCGATGCGAGGCGAGGCAAAGAAGAGACGAGGCCCCAAGGCGACGAAGAGGCAAGTTGCTCAGACAGTGGCGACAGTCTTTCATTTGGGAGCTCCCTGGAGGATAGCGGGACATCGTTTGGATCCGCGTATGGCTCACACGCCGCTATTCCCCCAGGAGCTCAGATAGTGGCGACAGTTCTACATTTGGCAGCTCGCAGGGGGGAGCGGGGCATCGTTTGAACCCGCGTATGGCTCACACGCCGCTGGATTCCCCAAGGAGCTCAGACAGTGGCGACAGCCTCACATTTGGCAGCTCGCAGGGGGGAGCGGGGCATCGTTAGGATCCGCGTATGGCTCACACGCCGCTGGATTCCCCAAGGAGCTCAGACAGTGGCGACAGCCTCACATTTGGCAGCTCGCAGGGGGGAGCGGGGCATCGTTTGGATCCGCGTATGGCTCACACTCCGCTGGATTCCCCAAGGAGCTCAGATAGTGGCGACAGCCTCACATTTGGCAGCTCGCAGGGGGGAGCGGGGCATCGTTTGGATCCGCGTATGGCTCACACTCCGCTGGATTCGCACAGGAGCTCAGATAGTGGCACAATGCTTCCTTTGCAGCTCGCAGGGAGTAGCGGGGCATCGTTTGGATTCGCACATGGCTCACACTCCGCTGGATTCGCCAGGAGCTCCGATAGTGGCGACAATTCTACATGTGGCAGCTCCCAGGATAGCAGCGGGTCATCGTTTGGATCCGCATGGGGTTCACGCTCCGCTGGATTCTGCAGGAGCTCAGTTTCTGGCGACAGTCTTAGATTCCGCGTCAGCGAACTTTTCTTGGGGGCATGTGTTGTTCCCAGGGCAGTGTTTTAATAGTGGATCGTGTTGCTCATGATTATGGTGGGCATTGTTGGGGGGGTCTGTGTTTGCGCTCTGTTATTTGGTGGGTTTGGCTGGATGCTGACGGAGTTTAACTTTTGCACGCGCGCACACACGCACGCAATACATACGTCCATTTATACACGCATTCATGCGTCCATCCATCCACGCATCCATGCATTCATGCATCCATCACATCCTTCACACCCCTCACATCCATCACATCCACCGCATCAATGCTTCCACGCATGCCATCCATGCCTCCATGCCTCCCTGCAATCCTGCATCCATACATCCCTTCAATCCTACAGCACTGCATCCCCGCCTGCTTCCCTGCCTGCCTCCCCGCCTCCCTGCCTCAGATCGTCGATCGTCGATCGTCCTCGTCGACGTCAATCGTCGATCGTCGATCGTCGTGGTCGACCGTCGTGCGTCGATCGTCGTCGATCGTCGATCGTAGATCCTCGATCGTCGACCATCGTCGATGATTGGCGATCGTCGATCGTCGTCGGTCGTCGATCGTCGATATTCGGCCGTCGACCGTCGATCGTCGATCGTCCATCCTCGATCGTCAATCGTTCGTCGATCGTGGATCGTGGATCGTCGACCGTCGTCGTCGCCGATCGTCGACTGGGTCGTCGATCGTCTGTCGCCGATCGTAGATCGCCGATCGTCGATCGTCGACTGTCGTTCGTCGATAGTTGATCGTCGGGGGTCGATCGTCGGTAGTCGGCGTCGCCAATCGTCGACTGTCGGTAGTGGATCGTCTGTCAGCGGATCGTCGATCGTCGATCCTCGTCCGGCGATCGTCGATCGCCGATCGCCGATTGTTTTCAATCGTCGTCTATCGTTGTCGGTCGACAATCGTCGTCCGTCGAAGGTCCATTGTCGATCGTCGATCGTCGTCAATCGTTGATCGTCGTTCGTCGTCGATGGTCGGCGTCGTCGATCGTCGATCGTCGATCGTCGTCGATTGCCGATCGAACCAGAACCCATCGAAAAGCAGAGCGCGAAACAAATCAAAATCCATCGAAATCCATGAACAATCTATCATATATAAAAAACATGATGTCTCAATGATTTTGATGGATGTCGATCGCCCTGAGGGTGCCGATCGTCGTCGATTGTCGTCGATCGACGATCAACGATGAACGATCGACGAACGACAATCGAAGATCGACGACGATCGTTGATCGACGGTTGACGATCGACGATCGATGACCGACGATCGATCGACGATCGAGGATCGACGAGTAATCGACGATCGACGATGACAATCGACGACGACTGACGATCGACGATCGACAAATCGACGACTGCAGGCAGGTAGGCATGGACGCAGGGAGGCATTCAGGGATGCAGTGATGTAGGGGTGCCGTGATGCAGGGATGTAGGGGTGCAGGGATGGCATGTGTGGATGGATTGGTGTGGTGGGTGTACTGGATGCATGGTTGGATGGATGCAGGGGTGCCTGGATGCCTGGATGCGTGGCTGCCTGGATGCCTGCGTGCGTGCGTGCGGGCCTCCCTCTGATCAACATTTCCCCATCACTCCCTCTCTCCTCGCCGCCTGCGTTAGCTGTGCGCACGCGTGTGCCTGAGTGTGGGAGTTGATTGCATCTTGACTGCGCGTGTGCGTCATGTGTGCGCGTGCTTCAGCGCTTGCGTGCGTGCGTGAATGCGTGCGCGCGCGTGGGCGCGGTTGCTTTGGATTGCCTCGCTTCGGTGCACGCGTGCGTGCGTGCGTCCGCGCGTGCGCGCGCGCGTCCGTGGGTAGTTAGTTGGGTCGCTTTTGTTCATTGTGAATGCGCGCTTGCGCGTGCCTGGGTGGAGTCCGGGCAAAGCTAGATTCAATTCGATTTCTTCACATCTCTTTTTTTAAGGAAAAACCGCACTCAGACCCCCCCACTCCCATACCCATGCCCCCCAAAAGCTCAAGGACAGCTGCACCTGTGGGGGATAGCGGTGCATCGTTTGGATTCAAATAGGCCTCATACTCCACTAGATTCCCCAGGAGCTCAGATAGTGGCGACAGTCCTACATTTGGCAGCTCCCAGGGATAGCGGGGCCATCGTTTGGATCCGCTTTGGGCTCACCTTCCGTTGGTTTCCCACAGGAGTGAAGATAGTAGCGGCGATTCTACCTTTGGAAGCGCCTAGGGGTAGCGGGCCATCTGTTGGATCCACGTAGGGCTCATTTTCCGCTGAATTCTCCAGGAGTTCTGATAGTAGCGGCAGTTCTTTCTCTGGCAGCACCCAGGGGGTATCGGGGCATCGTTTGGACCCGCGTAGGGCTCACACTCCGTTGGATTCCCCCAGGAGCTCAGATACTGGCGACAAATCTACATTTGGCGGCACCCAGAGGATAGCGGGGCATCGTTTGAATCCGCGTAGGGCTCACGCTCCGCTGGAATTCTCCAGGAGTTCAGAAAGTGTCACAGTTCGACCTTTGGCAGCTCCCAGGGGGTAGCGGGCCATCGTTTGGATCCGCGTAGGGCTCACCTTCCGTTGGAGTCCCCAGGAGCTTTGATACTGGCGACAATTTTGCATTCGGCAGCACTCAGGGGATAGCCAGGCATCGTTTGGACCCGCGTAGGGTTCACACTTCACTGGATACCCCATGAGGTCAGATCTGGCACAGCTATGCATTTAACAGCACTCAGAGGTTAGCTGGGCATCGTTTGTTTCCGCGTATGGCTCACACTCAGCTGGATTCCCCCAGGAGCTCATATACTGGCGACAATTCTACATTTGGCAACTCCCGGTGGCTAGCGGGGCATCGTTTGAATCCGCGTAGGGCTCACAGTCCGTTGGATTCGCCAGGTGTTCAGTTAGTGGCGACAGGACTACCTTAGGCAGCTCCCAGGGGGTAGCAGGGCATATGAGCTGGCAAGAGAACATATGAGAAGAGAACACGAGAGGAGAGGAGTGGAAAGGAGAAAGGCAGCGGATTGGACAGGACGGGAGAAGGACGGGAGGGAGACTTGAAAGAGAATAAGGAGGGGATGAAGGACCAACCAGCGTTTTAGTCAAAGCGAGAACCCAACCACTGGATGGTTGGATTTAATAATCATCCTCATCATCGCAATCGGCGGCGCCTTCCATTCATTGTACGTAACGCAACTTACCAGCATCCTTATTATCTTACATCCAATCGTGTTCGTATCGTTCACACTCACACTCATGTCAAGTAACCTTAATCAAATGCCGAGTGCTTCCGCTTCAAGTATAGCCACACGCGCGCCTGAAACCCTCTGAATCAAAACCCTTATGATCTAGACCCCCATCAGAGGTTCATTGGGATGAGCAAAAATTAGAGGAAGGCCAGTTGAGACATCGGCGGCCTTCCAGATAGACCAGAGTCCGCTCAAAAGCAGAGGAGGTGGAATGGGAGGAAGAGTTCGAGGAGGAGGAGGAGGAGGATTCAGGAGGAGGAGGAGGAGGAGCAGGAGGAGGAGAAGGAGGACGTGGAATCGCCCATCGTCCCTCTTCCTGATCCCCATTCCCCTCCCAGGATGCCGCCGAGGGCCAGGTCGTCCGAGTCGTGTGCATCCGACCCTCCCTGGCGGACTGCTGCGGGGAGGGGCCGGGGCCGTTGCTGAAGCCGGCCGCGCGTGGCCCCGGCTCGGCGGTGCCTCCGGCAGGCGCCCTCCCCCTCGGGATGCCTGCCAGCCTCGGGATGCTTGCCAGCCCTCCCTCCCTCCTCCCTCCCTCCCTCCCTCCTCCTCCGTCCTCTTCCATCCTCCTCCTCCTCCTCCTCCTCCTCCTCCTCCTCCTCCTCCTCCTCATTCTCCCTCCTTCTCGTCGTCCTCCTTCTCCTCCTCCTCCTCCTCCTCCTCCCCCTCCTCCTCCTCTTTCTCTCTCCTCCTCGTCCTCCTCCCCCTCCTCCTTCCCCTCCGGCTCCTCCTCCTCCCCCCTCCTCCTATCCTCCTCCTCCTCCTCCCTCCTCCTCCTCCTCCTCCTCCTCCTCCTCTCCTCCTCCTCATCCTCCTCCTCCTCCTCCTCCTCCCCCTCCTCCTCCTCTTTCCTCTCCTCCTCCTCCTCCCCCTCCTCCTCCTTCCCCTTCCTCCTCCTCCCCCTCCTCCCTCCTCCTCCTCCTCCTCCTCCTCCTCCTCCTCCTCTCCTACTCCTCATCCTCCTCCTCCTCCCTCTCCCTCCCCTCCTCCTCCTCCTCCTCCTCCTCCTCCTCCTCCTCCTCCTCCTCCTCATCCTCCTCATCCTCCTCCCGTCCTCCTCCTCCTCCTCCTCCTCCCCTCCTCCTCCTCCTCCTCCTCCTCCTCCTCCTCCT